CAAGGACAGAGATTTCTTTTCTAAACTGCTGTACCCCAAGCTCCTACAATGCCTAGTATTTCGCGGACCCTCAGTAAATATGCATTGCACAAATCAAAGAAGAAGCAAACCTGCAACAAAGAAGTATTAGTAACTAAGGACTGTAGTTGCATTGCCCCAGGAAACGGAAAACCAAGCAATACTGAGCTGTCGCCATTGTGGTAGATGGGCTTAATTTGTATTGTTTAATTCAACTAGAACAACTTGCCTGTAAATTAAAGTGGTTTCATTTTCTAAATCTATTTTGCTCCTGCTGTTTGGGGTGATCCTCGAAAAATACTTGTGTCATTTATTATTTTCAGAGTCCTGTTCTGTAGCTTTGGCTGGTCTGATGGTTGCTATGTGCGCAGGCAGGCCTTAAAAAAGCAGCCACACAGCTGCCTTCCCAAGTGCTGGGATTACATGTGAGAGCTACCATATTCAGCTTGTGTCTTTGGGGCTCTATTCTCTGCCTCTAATCATTGGAGTAGCCCTGCTGGGTCACCAGTCATTCTCCGGCAGGCTGCTATGAATACCTAGAGAAAGGAGATGGGATACTAGGAGCTCACATCACATACCCCTAGAATAGGAGTCGGTCACAAAAAGAAGGACTTGTGATGGCCTCTAATTTCCTATGAATGAGTCCCTCTGGCCTCTTCCAGGATCGTCTTTGGGGACAGCTCATGGCTTGCCTATTAGGTAGCTATGGGTAAGAAGGCTCTGTCTACTTAATGAGGAACCATTTAACTTCACTTGATCCATTTGCCTCTCAGATGCTCCTGAGAAGTCGTGTAGACATGGGGAAAGCCCTCAGGACCCACCTTAGGCTGGAGTAGGAAACAGATGGATGAAGATTGTAGCTGGGCCTGGAGGAGTATCCCCTGGTGCACAGGCTGACAAGCTGAGGCAGTCTGCAGGAGGTCACAGCCCTGGTCCATCTTCCTGCAAAGTTCTACCCAAGGGCAAGTGAATCCTTCCTGCTTGAATTCAGCCTTTGCCTTTCCCAAGTTCCTGCTTGCGGTGTGAGAATCATCTGCAAACTTAAATCCAGCAAACGCCTCTAGGCATTGCTCTTAACAGCTCAGAGGATGATTCAGAGGAAGTAATTTCCCCAGGGGAAGGTAATCATCTGCTGGTGTGAGAAGGCAGGCTCTCATTAGCATAGGAGCCGGAGGAGAAGTTGATGGATCCACAGCCAAGTTGCCACAGTGTATGACTTTAGAACGATATCCACAGCTGGGAGGTGGGACTCACAGACTCCCATGCCTGCTCAGAACGCACCCACAGAAACAGCTCTAATGACAGGAAGGTGGTCACTCAGCTGTGGAGCCCTACCCGCCCCCACACCCACCCAGATGGGTGCTTGGTCTGTGGCACCAGCCTCCTATATACCGTTTCTGTGCCTGTGTCCTCAAAGCCAACCACAGAGTCCATGGTACCTTTTAAAAACATAAGCCTGGGGGGGGGGGTCAGAGGATAAAATACTTGCTATATGAATGTGAGGACCTGAGTTCCATCCCAGAACCCTCATAAGAAAAATTAAGCTGGGTGTGGTGGCGTGTGCTTGTAATCCCGTTACCGGGCAGGAAGACACAGGTAGATCCCTAGGTTCACAGATCACCCTAGCATACTTGGTGAGCTTCAGGCTGTTCAGAGTCCTGGTCGAAACAAAAAAGATGGACGGCACCTAAGAGTGACATCAAATTGCCCTCTGACCCCCACATACATGTGTGTAAAACTGTGTGCGTGAAGGTGCATGTGGACACACACATACACACACTCACTCTCACACACTCAAATATAGATCACCGCATTTCTCTGCTTAAGTCCATCACAGACTCTGAAGGGTATATGGAATTAAACCCAACCCCTCCTGATTCCACAGCTGATGGACTCTGGCCCATCTGTGGTTCTCCAGCCTGGTCAGATGCCTTTTGCCTTCGGCCTAGACTTCCATGAACACAGGCATGTTCCTGCCTATACCTCTACCCTAGAGGTGCCACTCTCTGGAATGTTCTTCTCCCTAGTTTCCCCAGACCAGTGCCTTATCATGTAGTTTTGAGTTGAGAGGTCACATCCCCATATAGGCTCTACAGTCCCCAAACCTAAAGTGGCGACAGAGCCATTGTTACATCAGTTTTAGTTTAGAACATAGCAGTGCCCCTAGTTGATTCAAGTTCATTGTCTCTGCCTTCCAAAATACAAGCTCTCTGAGGGACCACCCACAGTCAACAAAATACAAGCTCTCTGAGGGCCAAGACCCTGTCTGCCTTATTACTGAGGTCTTTGGTTAATCTCTATGGCCTAAAGTGATACCTGGTGCAGATTATATGCAATGTGGGTTGACTTAGCAGGTAGACTGGCCAGGCCACTTCCTAGCAGGGCAGGACTCTCGCAGGGCAGCTGATGTGCCTAGAGTAGAAACTTGAAGACCTCAGGGGCTCACACTTGTACAGAAGCATAGGTCTGGTGTGTGGTCAGCTCCTGGAGGATGCTTCAAAGCCACTGTTCCACGCAGCCTCCTACCAAACCCCAATTATACCCACCCCAACCTTCTGGAAAGACAATACAATATGCTCACATGAACACAAAGTTACCAGACTCAACCCTCTTGAACGTATCAGCTGGGTCACTAACTCAGGCGAAATCTGAATTTCCACTTTATGGTCAAACGCAGAAATATAGGTCAAACTGTAGCATATCAAATGCACTTTAACTTTTTTTTAAAAAAAGATTTATTTTATAGCCAGATATGGTGGTGCACACTTTCAGTCCCAGCACTCAGGAGGCAGGAGCAGGTAAGTGAGTTCAAGGCCAACCAGTTCCTGGCCAGTCAGTGATACAAAATGAGACCCTTTCTCAAAACAATACAAGTGGAAATGCTGAGAGACTGGAGAGCTAGCAAACAGTTGAAAGCACTGACTGCTCTTCCAGAGAACCAGGGTTTGATTCCTAGCACCCATCTATTGGCTTAAAGTCTGTGGTCTGTAACTCCAGTCCCAGGGAACCCAACACCCTCTCTGGCTTCTTTGGGCCAGACATGCATGTGGTGCACAGACTTACATGCAAATGGAACACCCATACACATAAAATAAATTTTAAACATTAAAGTCAAAGGTTTATTATTTTTACATTGCATAGGTATGTGTGTGGGTATTATGTGCACCACATGCATGCAGGGCCAAAAAAGGCCAGAAGAGGGCGACAGATCACCTGGAAATGGAGTTACAGGCAGTGGTGAGTTGCCTAGAGTGAGCTGAAGCCCCGCCCCCCCTCGTCCTCTGGAAGAGCATCAAGTGCTCCTAACTGCTGAGTCATCTCTCTATTCCCTTAATGATTTTTTTTTTTAACTGAATATGTTTAAAAACTTTTTGGAAAAAAGGTTTCTTATAACCCAGACTGGCCTCAAACTTTCTACATCACCGAGGGTGTCCTTGAACTCCTAATCCTCCTGCTCACACTTCCTGAGTCCTGGGATTACAGGCGCCACTGTGCCTAGCAAGGAGCACAAATTCCTGAGGAGAAATTTCATCCAAATAAAAATTAAAAGTTCACTTAGGGCTTCAAAAATGTCAATGTCTCCTGGCATGGTGGCACACACCTTCAATCCCAGTACTTGGGAGGCAGAGGCAGGTGGAGCTCTGTGAGTTTGAGACTAGAGTGGTCTACATATAGATTCCAGGTTAGCCAAAGCTACATAGTGAGACACTGTCTCCAAAAAAAAAAGCAAAAATTATAAAAAAATGTTATTAATAGATTAAAAATATTGAGGTGGAAAACCAAGTTCAATAATAATGAAATATTCTGTTTTCTTTTTAAATGCTTATTAAACATTTTTTAGTACTTTGGTAAACAGAATTATGTGCTATAATTGCCACAGAAAGAACAAAACCCTATGGCTGTGTGTAGTCAGTCCATCCATTAGGGAGAGGGAAGCTTGATTGACAGGTCTCTTTTGGGGGGACATTGTATTGAGCGCCAAGTCCAGGGCCTTGCACGTCTTTGGCAAGTGCTCTACTACTGAGCTACATCTCTAGCCCAATAGGCTCTCTTTAGCCACTGTAGTGAGACTTTTGCCTGCTGGGAGGTGGGGGCAGGGAATTAAAATGTTTAAAAGCTCAATAATCTTGAAAAGTTTATTTGGGAGGAGATCACTATGCAGTCCCACTGCACAGACCAAAGTGACTCAGCTGTGGCCTGTGAACAGGTGTGTGGCCCACCACCAAAGGATGACAGTGGCCTGCATGATGTCACTTCTCTCAGACTCTCTCACTCGGGGAGAATGAAAAAGAAAGGCACTGGGGCCAGTCGCTCCTAGCACAGGGAGTCTTGCGGTACTGGCCTTGGACTGGTGAAATCTCCCTTCGATGATGATGGATAACTGTCAGGCATCGAGACCACATCCTAGAATCCTCCAAGCCCGAGCACAGTGCTCAGTGTGACTGAAGGTATGGGGAAGGCTGCTGCACCCAGCCCTCTGTGCTTGCTGTGCGCGCTACTGATGTCTCCAGAGCGCTGCTCTTGCCTTTTCATTTCTGATTCTTTCTAGCCTTTTTTTAAACCATCAGTGCTTAGAACTCATGTATTTAGGACTAACCGAGCATCACAGAGGCTGAGGGGATCAGAACCCTCCCGTGACTCAGATGGCCTGGGTGTCTGGCCTGGTCACCTCTGCACGAGTATAGGTGCTCCCTGAGAGAGGACTGGCCTTGGAGGAAGTGGAGCTGCAGCCAGAGTGGCCCTTCTGTGGCTTCCTTTGCACTACAGACCATCAGAGGAGGCCATTCAGCCAGCCCTTGACACCTCCAGGACACGTGCCCACACAGTGAGAAGCTGGTACTGCTTGAAGCCATCTGCCACCCATCTGAAGCTGGGGGAGAAACCCAAGTTCAGCTTCCCAAGATATCTGTATTATCTATAAAAACTGAGCTGTAAGGAGTCGCTGAACTGGGCATGCTCTCAGCCCGGTGACACTCCGGCCTGTGGAGGGTAGACGGCTTCAGCCCACTGCCCGCGGTGGACACTCTTCTGAGTGGCACGTGGGAAGAGTCATTTGTAAGGCCGCAGAAACCTTGACACTTTGGAACGTAGCAATCGGATGAAAGATCTTGGAAACATCTCCCGGGACTCCTGGGCTGTATACTTGAAATAGTTCTGGGGGTGTGCCAGGACATCAAACAGAGCCTTGATCAGTTTCTTATCCTGAAGAGAACAGAATGTTTGTTACCAGGCCAAAGCACTCAAACTTCCTGGCACGTTGCCAATGAAATCATAATGACTCACTATTGACGGGAAGGTCACTAGCTAGAAAACACTTGGTGAAAACTGGCTCCCCTGATTTTTATCTTCGCTCCAGGTTTAATTTTCCTTAATTGTTAATAATAAATATACATTACTTGATGAAAGAAATTTTGACATATGGCAGTTGTTTTTTTCTCAACTGTATGAGATCCAACATAGAAATTTGGAAAACAGTTTAGGGTTAGTGATAGGTGAGAATTTGGTATTAATTACTTACAAGCATCTAAAATTTGGTGGGCTTTGAGCTCATAAACTAGGAGCCAATGGCCTTTCACTGTTCAGGCTGAACATAAAAACTCTATATGCTCCTGACCTGGATTTGTAAGCAAGCACCCTCCACAGACGCTCAGTGCCATAACGCTCATGAACTCCCAGCGGCTGTGTTTGCTGATTCAAGACTAGAACAAGATCAAGCCAGAGTCCCAGGATGGGCTGGTGAAGAGCTCACAAAGCCCCACCCTTAGCTGAGGAGCAGTTGTTGGCTGCTGGAGGAGAGACACTCAGTGTTCTTCAGAGGTATGGTCCTTGGCAGGCTGAGCCCACTCCAGAGGCTGGCCCTACAGCCATGTACATACACTAGTTATATGTACTACAACTGGATTAATTGAATTCAGTGGTTATTTTAAAAAGAAGAGAGACCATGAAACTAGGAAGGGAATACCTTGAGCAGGGTCTGGCAGGAGTTAGGAGAAGGACAGATAAGATCAAACTACATTTTTTTTTTTGTGTGTGTGTGTGTGTAATACATTGTATATATAAAATGTATTATATAGATAAATAATTCTCAAATATATGTTATATACATAAAACACTAATGCTTATATATAAAAAAAATACTAAAGACAGAAACTTGACATTTAACAAAGTTAAATCACAGGAAAGGAGGGAGCTGATCTTGGTCTCCTTGGGCTCAGTGTCTGGAAGAAAGAGCTGTGTGTGGGGAGCTTATGGCTCCCTTCCTGTCTGCTGAGGCAGGTGCTCACCTTCAGTATTTCCTGGTGGTTCTCAGATGCGTAGAGCCTGCCATCTCGAACTATATCTTCAATGAGTTCCTGGTAGTCTTCTGGTGAAATAAAGGACACATTTGCTTCTCACTGTTTAATTCTTTCCAAACCCACTCTTGTGTCCCCGAGAAGCCGCCTTCAGTGTCTGCTCTCAGAGAACCTTTCCATTCTGACAGAGAGAGGACCAAGGCAACCAGCAGCTCCACTCAGCTGGCATCTGCCCTGCCTCCCTGCCCTGCCCTCCCCTGCCCTCCCCTACCCTCCCCTCCGAGGAGCCTTCTGTGCCTCCAGCCAAGACCCATCTTCTACCTCCCACACCAGATGCACCTTCTCTTCCCAAGTCAAGGACATTTGTGCCAGTAATGTTGCACATTTTCCTGCACAAAATCTTTCTGCTCATTCCCACCAGTGCGAAAACTGATCTTAAGGATATCTTGTTTAACTCCATCTCTCCTGCCAGTCCTCCATCTCATGTCTCTCTTCCCCTTTGTTTCCAGAGCAGGGTCAACCCTCACAGTCTACAAGTGAACTTTTCCTCTCCTGAACCCATGGAGCTTGGTCCAGTCCCAGGCACTCCTCCAAGACTGCCTACTGAGGTCTGCAGTGAGCTTCATGTTGTGTGTCCCGATGTCAGATGTTGGTCCTCCCTTTCCTCGTGCATCAGTAGCCTTTGACCTGGCTGGTCACCTTCCTCCTTCATCCAGTTCCTCTCTCATCTTCAGAACACTCCGCTTTGGGTTTCCCGCTATTTCACTGGCAGCTCCCTGGGGAGTCTTTGCTCTCCTCTGTCCCTAGCCTTTTCCTGTAGGAGGTTCTTGGGACTGGGTCCTTGGTGGTCTGCTCCTACCTATGCTCCCTGCACTGTGAGCTCATGTAGGCTTTTCTTTCCTCTCTAGTACCTGCCCCCCCCCACTGTTTTCTGTCCTTGCATTGGATAAGGTGACCAAGCATCTGAGAACCCAGAATGGTTGACTCTTCTCTTTAGTTGGGATAGGGCTGGGGATGGAGAACTGACTATCTGAGAAAGAACGTCCTTTTTGCCTTCTCATTAATCATTTCTTTGGTCCTGGCACACACATTAAATGCAGTGCACACGGTATTCCTGCTCCAAATGTAACCTCACCCCACTCTAAAGTCTAGCCTGCTTCCCATAGTCATAACTCAAGTAAGCATATGCAGAACACAGTGCTCTCCAAAGCCAAGACACATCAGAAACTGCCTCTCTGTACGCATACCATGTGCTGAGAAGCCACAGGAATTAAAAGAGCATCCACGGAGGGTATTGGGAGCGCTCCCAAGAAGTTTCTTCAGTCCAGAGATGGTGACGGGACACCCCCACTGCACAGTTAGTGCTTGATGCACATACGGTATCATTGCACACATGGTATCATTGCACACACGGTATCATTGCACACACGGTATCATTGCACACACGGTGTCCTTGCAGACACGGTGTCATTGCACACACGGTATCATTGCACACACGGTGTCCTTGCACACACGGTGTCCTTGCAGACACGGTGTCATTGCACACACGGTATCATTGCACACACGGTGTCCTTGCAGACGCGGTGTCATTGCACACACGGTATCATTGCACACACGGTATCATCATTGCACACACGGTATCCTTGCACACACGGTGTCATTGCACACACGGTATCATTGCACACACAGTGTCATTGCACACACGGTATCACTGCACACACGGTATCATCATTGCACACACGGTATCCTTGCACACACGGTGTCATTGCACACACGGTATCCTTGCACACACGGTATCATTGCACACACGGTATCATTGCACACATGGTATCATTGCTGCTGCTGCTGTGGCCCCTTTGCTTTGTTCTAATGAATATATATTATAAGAGCACAAATTCTAGTCCAGCTTGGCTTGCAGGGTGACTCTGTGGGCTATAGGACCCTGTCTCAAAACAAGCACACCAACAGCAAAGCCCAAATCAATAAAACAAATCAAGAGAATAAGTTTTATTATTTTACTCTAAAAAAAAATAGGGTCTAATGTAGGCCAGGCTGGCCTTAAAATTGCTAGTAACCAAAACTAGCCTCGAATTCCTGATGCCCCTGCCTCTACCCATGAGTGCTGAATTACAGGTATGTGCCCCCATGCCCCATTTTAGTTAGTTTTGCATCCTTGTTCAGTGTCTGGACATCAGAGGACTGGCTGGCTTCTTTCCATAAAGGGGATCTACTATTAGGAATAGAAGTTGTCGTGCACTCTGGTGTAACAGAAAATGAGACTGGGCTTTGCCATTATACCAAATGCTTCCAGACTGTTGTCTTTAACACACACACACACACACACACACACACACACACACACACACCGTTTCTAAGAGTTCCTGTGTTTCCTGGCCCCCTTCTGCCTTTCAAAACACAGAGAAGTTCAGAGATTAAAAACTCAGGCTCTGAAGTCATCCCAGTTCTGCAACTTTGCCATGTCTGGATCTCAGGTCAATTACTTAAATCTCTAAACCTGAGTGGCCTCATCTGTAAGGTCAGGAAGTGACCGGGTCTGATTGATGGGATGACCACGAGGAATGTGCCCCATAAAAGCCACTGTGGTGCATACCTGGTGCCCAGCTGGTGCTCAGGAATGCCCAGTGCCTGTCACCATGACCCTTGTTTGCCCTTCTCCAGAACGTACTCATGTGCTGTGATCATCCCCACCAACCCCCGCCAGCTCCCACTAGGACCTCAAGTGCCCCCAGATACATGCCAGGAGGCTGGGCATGGCCTTCATACATGTGCAAACAACCTGCCACCTGAGCTACATCTCTGGCCCTTGCTTTCATGTTTTTTCTATTAAAAAAGGGGGCATTTCTGCTGGTGTCTGTGTTGAAGTCTGTAGCCAGTGGCACCGCAGGAGGGCTTAGGAACTATGTGAGATGAAATCAGAGGGCTATACTGAGCCAATCCTGCCCTTCGCTGCCCTGGGCAAGCTAACCTAACATCTAGCTGCCCACTACAGCAAGAGAGCAGCCCCCTGCACTCAGAAGAGAGGGCCCCCACCCCTCACCACAGTCCAGGATGAATCTAACCGAAGGGAATGCCTGTAGGGGAGCTGACTGCACCACCACTGAGGCAGATAGCCCCAGTGGTTCTATCGGCCCACAACTGGGCCTTGGGTTGGCCCACCCTAGCATCCACCCCATCTAGGTTCTGCTGGAGCCCAAGCCTTAGAGTCTACTTGATTTCCTCCCTGTCCTCATACACAGGAGAGCTTGCTGAACATCTGCTTCCAGGCAGAACTGGGGGCTCAGTGTCTTTGTCAACAGAGTCCCAGCAGTCAGGCTCTGAGAGCCCTTGTCCTGGGTATACATGTTACCGAGGCAACTGCAAGGCAAAGCAAGAGCCTGGTCCTTGCCGTTCATTAGAAATAAACTACGTAAAGTGAGCTAGGAAAGCCGAGGATGGGGTCTCTTGGCCTAGAAATCTTTAAGGACTCCCTATAAAATTAAGCCTACTCTCCTGAGCTCGGCATTCAAGGCTACTCACTGCCTACCCCCACCCTCATTTATCTTCCCACGCTCCCTACCCACTGGCCAGATCGGACCCCGGCTGTGCCAGGTGCTCTATCCTTTGCCCTTTTCCTGAATGTTCTTCCTCTCTGTTTATACCCCAGTCCAATTTACATATTCTTTCAAGACCCAAACCTCTTGAGACTGACTTGTTCTCTCGAAGCCTACTCAGAATAATTGCTGTCTTCTGCCTGGTGTGGGAGGTCCTCCTCCTACAGCTGCCTTCTGCACTGGCAGCGTTTGTACCCACCCTGTAAATCACCTACAGCAAAATACACACTTCTGTGTTCTGGCCACTATAAATATTTGTTGCCCAAGTCTCAGAATCTAAGTAGATTCCCAGGGGTTAGAAGGATGCAGAAACATCATCTGACTTGTCCAAGATCACAGAGTCAACAGCAGGGCCCAGACCTGGAGTTAAACCTCTTCCCCTTCTCGGGAGCTAATAAATGTCACAACCTTACAAAGTTAATAAACTTTTGAGCAATTACTATCTGCCAGGAATGGTCCCAGTTTAAACTCTTAATGTTCAGTCAATGATTTTCTTCATCACTCGTTAAGAAAATACGGCTTGCAGGCATGGTGGCGCACACCTTTAACACCAGCACTTGGGAGGCAAAGGGAGGAGGATCTCTGTGAGTTCAAGGCCAGCCTGGTCTACAGAGCGAGTTCCACAATGGCTTGACTAGATGTATAGCTCACAATTAGAAGCCCTGGGTTCAGTCGCCACCGGAAATCAAGGAAAGAAGACTTAGAGATGGTAAACCACTTACACAAGTCCTGAAAGAGATGGCTGGCCACCTGACTCCACACACTTCCCTGTATTTCCTAAACTGTCCTTTTCCATTCCTACAGTAAGTGTCCCCAAATGTCTGTTTAAAATGTGGCCCCAGTGAGTTAGCCATGTCCTTTTGCCTCACTGTGCCTGGCTGGCTGAGCGGGTGTGCTTGTTAGCATCTGCCAGCCAGCTCAGGAGCCAGTTCCTTCCATTCAGAGCCCAGCCACACCATCCCTGCCATGGCCACAGCCTGAGCTTCCCAGCTCCTGCTTACCGTCGTACGTCACATAGGGGACCTGGAACCCTCGGGCACTGTTCCCTTCATTGGACTTGAACTGAATCCACAGCTTCTTTGACCTGGAGGTGAAGGCGATGGGGCGTTCGTAGGTCTGGCAGGTTTCATATGTGGTCACAGAATTTGCTGAAGCTGCCAAGGGAAGTTGGAGGGTGTGGGGTTCAAGAGGCATCATGGAGCCAGCAGGCAGGAAAACTTTGAAAACATGTAACCCACACAGTAAGTTAATCTCAAGAGCTCCTGGACTGGGGCAACAGCTCCCTTGGTAGAGTGCTTGCTTGCCTTGCAGACATGAGGACCCGAGTTTGATATGCAGAACCCATGGTTTGTTTTGTTTTGTTTTTTGTTTATGTTTTTTTTTAGGCCAGATAGAGTAGTCATGGGATAGCTGAGACACATAGACCTGAGGTTTGATGCCCAGACAGTCTAGTCTACTTTATAAATACCAGGCCAATGAAAGAACCTGTCTCAAAAAGAAGACAGATGGTATCTGATTGACTGAGGATTATACTTTACCCCAAGGAAAGGCTAAGTAAGCCCCACCTGCCCTCAGCACACAAACAGCTACAACCCAGGCTATCCCATCCACGGTATCAATAGAAAGATGGCCCCAGGATCCAGACCCAGTGCTGATTCCCGGCAAACGTCACCCCCTTATTGTAGCTGTCTGGGAGTACACTACACATTCTATGAGCTTGATCTCATTGATTCCTCTGAATACCATAGAGGTTGACCAATTACTACCTCTGTTACAATGAGGGCTTGTGGTAAGGACAGGATCCAAACCCACATCTGACTTCAGGCATTTGAACCACTAATAACAGTCATGGCTCTCTTGAACTCAGAGCGTGTAAGACTGAGTTTATCAACATTCCATCATGGAGAGGGCAAGAGCTCATGACTGCACCACCCCCCAGGGCCTCTGCTCCGTGATCTGTACAATTCTTGGTTGCGTGGAAGAGAGACATTTTCTTTAGTTGTGTGGTCCTTGGGAAGGTGCCCATGTTCTGTAAATAACATCTTGCCCATGCTCCTAGGTCAAAAAAACCAAAACAATTTCTTCCGCAAAGACAAACATAGAAGAGAGACTAACTGGGAAGGAGAAGGGGATTACTTAGAGAGAGACACAAGAGGATAATGGTGGGAGAATACGATCAAAACATATATCACATACATGTATAAAATGTCAGAATGAAACCCATTTTTTGTTTTGTTTTTTTGAGACAGAGTTTCTCTGGGTAGCTTTGGAGCCTGTCCTGGAACTCACTCTGTAGACCAGCTGGCCTCGAACTCACAGAGATCTGCCTGCCTCTGCCTCCCAAGCGCTGGAATTAATGGCGTGCACCACCACCACCCAGCAAAACTCATTATTTTATAAAAGTGGTATATACCAGTAAATTTAAAAAAAAAAAAAAGAAAGGAAGGAAGGAAAAAAAACCCACATGACTCCTTCCAAGCACTTACAGCTTGAACTCTTTTAGTCCTAGCAACCCTACCAGGCAGCGACAGGATTTCTCCAACCTGACCCTCCCAAGAAGACTGCAGTGAGAAGCTTAGAATGTCCACCCAAGGTCACGGACCCAGAAGGAGGTGAACCTGGGCTTGAGCAAACTCTCAGCTCTGTCATCAAGCTGCAATGATGGCAGCATCCTTTATAGACACCAAGGCTGACTCGGGATAATGGGAGGGGCCGTCCTTCCTGGCTGGACCAAGTCTTTGGCTTTGGACATGGCTCCCTAGAGTGAACAACGTGAAGTCGGCCCCACTTGGCTACAAACTCATGTCCCATCCCTGTTCCTCTATGAAGGAAAGAATCTACTAGACCTCATCCTCACATTTAAAGCTGGGGGAGGGTCAAGGCATCAGGTTTCCCAGGCTGCCTTGGGAGGGGATGGAAGCCCAGGGAGAGACGCACAGGTTTTCCGCATCACCAGGTAGTCGCCACAGTCATCTTCTATGGGCAGGAAGATCTCGGGGACCACGATCAGGATGCGGCGTTTAGGCGGTGGGTTGATGGTCCAGGTGCACTCGGAGTTGGCAGGGTAGTTCCCAGGGTAGTTTGGGGACTCAATATACCCTGTGAAATCCCCCAGCTCCCCTCCACACTTCCTGTCTAGAAAGGAAGTGCCATGAGTTAGGAGGGCAAAACACTGTCATTGCTTTCTAGACACCCCAAGGGTAGTGGAGAGCAATAGACTCCCTATAGCAAGGAAATGACGCCACCTCAAGAATGCCTGTCCTTCAGTGCTCATGGCCTCTGTGGGTGCCAAGCAGCCCAGGCTCCCCAAAGCAGACCACCTTGCAAGCCTGAAGACACCAAGGTCGACACATTTAATCTTTGCTATTTTGTTTACAATTCTGTGTGTCAGGAGAACCTTATCACTGAACTCAGAACACAGCTCACAGCTCAGTAGAGAATATTTGACCAAGACCTTTTTGATGCAGATAAAACATATTTTTCACTTTTCTGTTTAAAGCCACATCTTATTTTTCAGTGGAGAAGGAAGTTTCAATCAGCTGTTGGATGCACTTGGACATGGAGAGCTCATGGGTGCGCGCCCACTACCTCAGCGCTATTGCCAGGCACTGGCTCCCCGACATGTCGCCCAAAGATCTGGGGCTCAGCCACAGACCCAGTCAGGAGTTCCTCGGGGAACTTACTATTTAATACTGTTGGGTAAACCTGTACTAGAGACTGTGACTTGGATTTAGCAGTAGTACAAAAATAATATTAATAACTAGGCTTTTCTTCTGAGAGGAAAAGGGGAAGCGAGAGTTGTGGAATTCAGCCTGGGAAACCGTGTCTCCCGATGGACAGCCACGGCCTAGCGGGAAGACTGGGAACAGAGTCATCCTGGTATAAGGAAGAACTCCCCCAAAAATGAGTCTTCCCAAAATCTCGTCTACCAACAGATGAGGCCCCGTGGACGGCAGTGAGATTGCTGTCAAATATATATTCAGTAGCAGTGTCTATAGCTAAAACTACATAGACAGAGAGGGCATTTGGCGCTAGGGCTATAGCTTAGCGGTAACATTCCTGCCTCGCATGCACAAGGCCCTAGGAGTTCAAGCTCCTCCACTGAAATGAAAACAAAACACAAACCAACTAACCCAGGATAGAAAACCAGATAACCTCTCACCATAAAGTGACACAGATTCCACGGTCCTCTCAACCCCAAGCGTCTCCAGTCTGGGGGTCGGGGGCTTCCTCACTAGTCTGGATGGTGGTCACTATTAGGTGGCCTTCACTATAGAATTTCACATAGCAGGCAATGCAGGAAATGCCCGCTTTAGCAAGCCCTTAAATGGCCCTGTTTTCCACTGCTGAAACTACAGATCATACTCTAGCATGACATTCCAGGCCTCCTTTTCCTGGCCCGCCAGCTCTTCTGTGCTCAGGTTCGGAAGTCTGCTCCCAGAGGCTTTCCACTTGCCTAAGCCTCGGCTTCCCTGCGGGCTGTCTGGAACATGGAGCTCTCTCTTATCTGCCCCATCCTCCTTCCATGCTCTCCAAAGACCTTTCCTCCAGAGACCGGTCCCTTGCTCCTTCTGCATTCCTCCAGCCTGGCTCCTGGCAGCTTGGCCAGGCTGACTTAGCAGGATGCTGGGAACAGGGCAGGCCCTCAGACAATGCATGTTGAGCTAGGCTGAACTAAAATTATCCTCCAGGGGCAAGTCTAGCCGGAAGTGTAGAGAGGAAGCTGGAGTAGCTCGGGGACACAAGGTGCACTGTTTTCAGCACTTGCTTCAATCCCCGCCCCACACACATAAAAAAGGTGAGTACTTCTGGGTCCTAGCCCTAGCTCCCACTTAAACAGCCAGGACTGCATCCCTCTCTCCCATAGCACTGGTCCAATATCATACACATGATCCCGAATGAACCCAGAACCCCAGCCGCCGCCTCTTCACACCCCTGCCCAAATCTGAACCAGGCCCTTGCCCTCTAATGCAGCCTGCGAAACTCCTTAGAGAAAAGCCTACTTTTACACTGCGTTATGTTGGTAGAGCCATCAAAGTCCGTGGTAGTATTCCCCGGGCAGGAAACACAGCTATTTTTTCCAAATTCAGGCTGGTATGTCCCCAGTGGGCAGCGGATACATCGGTGTGTGGTGGTGTTGTAGAAATGCCCAGGCGAACACTGAACTGTGAAGAAAAAGACTATTTTTAATCAAACGCTTCAAGGCATATGAAATAAATTATTACGCCTAACTGAAATACTGCTTTCCTGGCAAGCTTGGATTAATTAACACTCGATTCCCTCAGCAGCCGGAGCGAGCGGGATTCGTAACAGTCAAAATGCAATCGAATGCATGCACCAGGCAGCAGAGGTCACCTCTTAAATCTTCGGGGTGGGAACAATGAGGGCACAGACTGAAGGTGACTTGGGTTTCCCTTGGGAGAGGCGGGGAAGTGGGAATCTGGACGGGGGTGGTAGGCCTGAATGGGGGTGCTGAGTGAGCAGCTAGGCCTGGACACTGAGCTAGAGGAGGATTAGAACATGGAGCTCAGGAGGTCTCTGCTTGTAAAACCTGCTCCTTGCTGCCCGGTCATCAGACCTGTGTGAGCAGCCTAGGTGGCTGGGGCGGCCCAGACTGGGTCACATCTTCACGGGACCCTTGGGAACTCAGGAGAGAAGTGGAGTCCAGAAAGGGGCAAGCAAGTACTCACCTCTGGTTTCGCAATCCTGGAAGGAAGTGGCTCCCAGATGTTTAGTGGGAAGACCTCCTCCACATGGGAGGCATGATGTGCGGCCCACATCAGGCTGAAAGGTGCCCAGGGCACAGAGTTGGCAAGGGGCAAATCCATCTGCTGAATATTCACCTGGTTGGCATAGACCTGGAGGGAGTAATGGCCCTGGGTGAGGGAGGCTCCTCAGGGAGGCCATTCCCTACCCCTTTGTGAGGCCCAGTACCCCATGCTGACGTCAGTTCACATATCAGTGAGAAGCACCCAGCCAGCCTCACCGGGATCCTCAGGAGGAGGCGGGCAAGTGCACACAGGCCCACAGAGCCCAGCACAAAGACGGGCACCAAGAGGTCTGCTATCTGCTTCTAGTACGAGAAAGGCCTAACGTGTGGAGCCTTGGCCTGCACCCTACGCACGGATCGCTTGTAATGGGGTGGGACTGGGGTGGGAATGGAGTGAGGGGGATTAAGTACCCTCTGCTATGGAGTCAGGCTGGCTATGAGACACAGAAGCCCACCCTCACTTAGAAACTGCCGGGCCTGACTTAAAGGGCCTCCCATTGCACCGGTTACTCAGTTGCTTCTCTTGAACAAAGGTGTGTCCTGGCCAACCCCAGTCAGTGGACCAAACCTAACTAATTCACCCCACATGGACAGAGGGACCCAGTGACACTGGCTTTAAGTGTGGTTCCTTTTCCCCTCTCCAGATGGGGAAAGGAGGCAGACATTAATGAAAGACCCTCAGAAGCTCTTGTTCGTTAGGAAGCGGCTTGTCGTTAACTAGATGCTCTAGAGAGTCTGTGTCTCCTGCAGCCTCACCTCAATCCATCTTCTGTTTATTTGTGGGATTTTTGGTTTATTTTGGGGATTTGATTTATTTTTATTTATTTATTTGATTTATTTGGGGATTTTTCCAGTTAATTTTTTACTAATTTTGTATCAGGATGGATCCAATGTATTCCGATTACTCTCTCCTCCACATTTCTCTCCCTCTCACCCCTATTAATGCCCCCTCATGACTACTTGTCCCTTTTCTAGATTTATGTGTTTTGGTATTGTTTTGTGACCCATTTCATCTAACCAGGGCCCTTTAGAGCAAGCAATGGCTGAGGTCTGCAGTGCGCATATTTGCCGAGTGAAGAAAGCATGTCAGCACAGCATTTATATTGTTCTGCAATGTCTTGCCCATATTGTTGTCTTTATATTGAGACAGGGTCTCATGTAGCCCAGGCTGACCCCACACTTACCAAGTAGTCAAAGAAAACCTTGAACTCTTGATCTTCCTGCCTCCACCTCCCAAGTCCACTACCATGCACACAGGACTGGAACTCAAACCCTACCAATGGAGCTGTGTCCCCATCTTCATCCATTTGCTCCTGTGGGCATCAGCTAGGGCGTCAGGTGCCAACCCAAGCACTAGAGGACTGATAATAAACATGGTCTCTGCTTGTGGGAAGACCAAGGTCCAGTGCACATCATTCAGAGACTTCGGGGTGCCTCCCAGCCTTGATCTAAACAATGGCACTGGGGTTGGAGGAGTAGGAAGGGACAGACTCCTTACCACCACATTCAGACACATTCCAGGCTTCTGGGATTTTTAGGGCCCCAAGATTTCCTGGTCTTGGGTATGGTTCACAAGTGACTTGTCCTTCCTCATTTTGGAAGGTTCCATTTGGACATAAAATGCAGCTTTCTTGTAATCCATCATAATAAGTCCCAGGCCTGCACTGACTAACCAAAGGGGAACAGCCTGCTCAGTGTGAGACAGAAGCTGAGGAAGCTGAGGTGAGTGCTAGAGATGAGGGTGTTTGGGTGAAGAGGGACCACACTCCCTGTGCAAACCCTCTGGGTTCACACTCCTATCATCCCCGGCTAATAGGTTGGTACCTCCTTAGTCCAGCTGGCTGCCTGGGGCCATAGCACTTGATGATGAAATATTGAAATATCACGTTGATTGTTCTGGTTTGGTTTGGTTTTTGCTTGTTTGTTTAACTTCAGGATTGCCCTAGTTTACAGGGCTCTCAAAGGAGAATAAAGGTGAAAATTATTCATTCTCTCTCTGTCTCTCTCTGTCTCTCTCTGTCTCTCTCTGTCTCTCTCTCTCTCTCTCTCTCTCTCTGTGTGTGTGTGTGTGTGTGTGTGTGTGTGTGTGTATTTTACCTGAAAGTATTAGGGACTGGGCCTACAGCCTTACACATGCTAGTCAAACACTCTACTGCTGAGCTACATACAGGTCCAGCCCTGAGGGAGGTGTTCTGAATTCCGCCTGGCAGCATCCTGAAAGGCCTCCTAAAGGAAGTCATATTTGAGTCAGGTCTTGAAGGATGGCTAGGATCTCCCCAGCAGAAACGGGCTGTCCCAGAGGTTCTTGCACGGCCATATTGGAAGAAAAGGAAGGGGAGCTGGGAATAGGTCAATGGAGTTCCTGAATTCCAGACACTGGGATTTTATTCTTTGGGGTGGGGGTGGGGTGGGGTGGGGGTAGTCACTGGAAGGAGCAATCCCATCAGAAGCTGTGTTTTCCTTCAGCCTCTGCATGGGTAAGGTCTTGAGGGTCTCATAAAACAGCATACTTCAGATGCACAATAAAATGCATTCCAAAGCATAAACCCTTGTAAATGTTCCAGAAAGAATAAGCAATAAGAAAATTCATGACTGTGCTTCTAATGGCTAGTTAATTCGAGATTCTGATGGTGCTAGTTAAATAAGGATTTATGCCCTGTTCTACGGCATGAAAATGAAGTAAATATACCCAAATTGGCTTCCTATTTCAGCAGTCAAACATCACCCTTGTGGTCACCCCTAAACAGCCTTTCTGTGTAGCTGACATTAAGTACCTACTGTGTACACGACACCATGGCAGGTGCTTCACCTGTTTATGCCATGTATCCCTTAGCATAGTCCTGGAGAGCAGGTGGCATCACTAGCTCCGGTTTGCAGAAAGAGAGCCTAGGAAGAGGGGCCTAAACAACTCGGTCCGAAGTCTCACAGCCTCTGTGTGGAATACATCTTTGGTGAGGTTCAGAGCTTTGAATCTAAGAAGGGCGGGGGGTCCTCCCTGGTTTAATGGTTAGCATCCTGAACTCTGACTGAGGAGAGGAAAAGGTGACTTCACTCAAGAGGAGACAGAAGCTCAGGCCTTTGTTAAGCAGCTAAAGGGCTGACGAGAACGTGTTCTTTTTAGAACTTAAATCTTCCAGGAAGTAGAAGAGAGGAGGCACAGACAATGCTGACTATTGCAGATCTCAGCTGTCTGAGGGAGTGCTTATCCTACGTTAGGGCAGCTTGAGCAGGGGAACCTTAGGGTTAAACAAGGTAAATGATCTCTCATCAAAAAGTTCATTGCGGACAAATCTCTGTGAGTTCAAGGCCAGCCTGGTCTGCATAGCCAGTTCAAGGCCAGCCTTGTCTACACAGCAAGTTCAAGGCCTACATAGTAAAACCCAGTCTCACAAACAAATGAAAGTCATTTATTTCATACTTTTCATTATTCTCTCAAAAATATTATTAAAATAAGGTTTTATTTTTATCAGAATGAGGCTATGCAATATTTCAGGTATTATTTCTACAGTTAGATGTACTCAACCAATAAAATCTACACTTGACACTTGATATTGTTCATATTTTTCTCTTATTATATTTGTGGGTTATTTTTATATGAGTTTGTGACTTTTCAAAAAGATTTATTTTATTTGTAAGGGTGTCTTGCCTTTATGCATATTTGTGTACAGTGTGTGTGCCTGGTGCTTATAGGAGCCACAGGAGGTGTCAGGTCCCCTGAAACTGGAGTTACAAATAGTTGCTACCATCATATGGGTGCTTTTAATCAAACCTAAGTCCTCTGGAAGAGCACTGAGCCCTCAAAGAGTTTGTAATTTTATTATAACTGAAATCTTAACTGTGAACCCACCTTGCTTCCTCGGCATTCAATATTATAATGAGCAGGGTAATATGTCCGTGGCAGAGTCTACACTTCGGACTTACCCTCTATACCACAGCCTCATCTGGTTTCTACCACCACGCCGCTTCTAGCCCATGTCTCATGAAAAGCTGGGCTGAGTTACAGACAAGGCATCCACGCATCATGCTGGATCTCACCCGTTCATTCCAGTGTCTATAGTGGGCTGGTAAATAAGAGGATAACTTTTATAGATTTCTCCATCCAAGCTGTCATAGAGGCTGGCGAAAAGCAAATCGATGCCAGCCTGACCAGAGTGCCTCCGACCTGCACCATTTCCACTGGAGGAAGAGCAGGCGGCAGAGACCTAAGTTAGAACTGTGATCCTAGCGACAAAGTCAATCCTTACGTGGAGGCAGATCAACACGATTGGCACCAGCGGCTCCTCTGGAGGAAAACACCGTGCCCATGTTCAGGCCTAGACCTGTGTCTCGCTGCACAGGGTACCAGGATGGTCCCAGGACTGTCTGAGTATGGCTCTACCTTGAAGCTACTTACCCAACCCCCATCCCTTGTCAAGGTTCCACTTGAAGAGGCCTCACATCCTCCCACATCAGCTGGGATTTCTTAACTGATCAAAGGGCTGCCCTGTGGTCAAGAAGACCGATTCTTTCTCCCCACGGTGAAAGGCCTGCAAACAACCCCATCTTGTCAGTCACAGTTTCCATACAGAAAGACCCAGGGACAGAAGTCATGCCACACTCCTTCCAGATACACTAGCTTCCTCCACAAGGAACACACGGCGGAACCCTGATGCACGCCTGGGAACGGCACTGTGCATGTGCGCTGGATGGGACCTCGATCACATGGCCCAGTTGCTTCTCTCTTCCCCTTGAGTGGCCTGCTTGTGCTGCTGCCCTCGGACAAAGGAGGCAATTGCCCCCAGAACACTTCACCGACACAGTAAAGCTTTTGTGTGCTGTCAGTGACCATTAAAATCCTAGTCTCAAATCCCGCACAGCTGTTTCTCCTCCTCTTAAAAAAGGGGGAAAAAAATACAAGAAAGCCTTTCTGATGCAAAAGGGCAGAAAGCAGCAGGGACCAGGATTAATGGTGACAAAGAGGCCTAAAGGCTTGCCCTCTTTTCAGCTCCGAGGGCTTTGAGTATTTCAGGCTGTGGGCAAACACTATGGTCTCTCTGCAGCTAAGAGCATGAACCTAATAAAAGAGGCCACTCTCCAGCGCCTCACCGTTGTCTTAAGGATTGAGTCTTGACTTCTGATGGAGAGCCACAAGCAGCCCATGCAGATTCCCAAGGCATCCTGGGGTGGCTGCTTTGTCCCAGCTCCCAGGCAAGTCTCAAGGCTCCCAAGGCAGTGCAGTGGCTAGGATCCTGGCTAGAGCCTGCTTTAAAAGAATACCCCAGGATAACAGGACAAGCAACTCCTTAGACTGAAGAACAGCCTTTTCATTGTCTTTGCAGGATATTGGAGTGCACTCAGGGTTGCTGTCTACAAACATCCCCATGGTTTAGATCTAGAAATGAGCCCAGCTGGGTACCTCCCTTGCGGGGGAACCCAAGCGTGTGTTACGTTCTCTTCATGCCTAGTTAAGTGGGGCCAAAATTTCACTTCCTTTAAGGTGACTTTTTGGTCCTCAGTTTAAATCCCCCCACCCACTGGAAAGCTGTGCTGGGCCCTCTCTGTGTATTGTCGCTTGTCCTTGGAATTTCATTCTTTCTTCTTAAATTTCTTTTACGTTTTATTTACTTTGTGTGTGAAGAGGAGTACAGGCCGGAAGACCACTAGGGGCAATCAGTTCTCATTCGTGGTTTCTAGGGACTGAACTCAAGTCATCAAGCTTGGTGGCAAGTCATCTTGCTGGCCCTGCCCTTCGGTGGTGCTCATGAAGAAACATTAGCGTCTTCATTTAACAATGATACCAAACAAGAACTACGTGTCTAGTGTTACTCTAGGAGCTGGAGATACAGCAGAGAAGGGGATAGATATGGCCCTATCCTAATAGCGCCCTTGTTCTCATGGAGAGGATGGACAATAAACAGGCAAAGGATCACACAGTGAAGTGCCAAGCAGGGGCACGGTAATGCAAAGTAATTGGTAATGCAGTATCCTGGGGTGCAGTGTCTGCGTGTGTGTTTCAGTAAGGTGGCTGGGAAAGACAGTCCTGCCATGAGAGTGTCTAGTACAGAAGACAGAAGACCTCTGTCACAGGAATGGGGGAAGGGGTGGGGTGAGTGGAGATGTATTTTAAGCGGCTGAAACAGGAGAATTACAGGTTTGAAGACAGCCTGTGCTCAGTGAGACCCTATCTCGGATAAATAAAGAGCACACACCTATAATCCTAACACCTGGGAGGCTAAGTCAGGAAGAGCACTGTGAGTTCAAGGCTAGCCTGGATTACATAGTAAAACACTCAAAAGCAGGCAAACAACCAAAAACAAAAAACATAAACAAACCCAAAACAACCAAACAATATAAAACAAGCAAGGCAGGTTGTGTGGGATCTTGAAGGCCATGGCAAGGAAAGAAGGGTTACAGAGGTCCTGAATGCTCAGACAGCGTGACAGAAGTCCTGTCTCTAAGCCGTCTTTTGGCTGATGTATGAGAACAGATTGAGGGCAGGAAGGGGAAGGAGAACACTCAGAGCCTGCGAGGACAGACAGGGGAAAGGAGGGTGGTTTGGAAGCCAGCCAGCAGTGACAGTGGAGGAGGGACACTAACTGGGCTCAGGGGCCTACCTGCAGGCAGGACTGACAGGATTTATCGGTGGAGGAGTGAGGGGTGCGGCAGGGAAGATGCCAGGAAAGCT